CAGGTGTGAGACACTGTGCCCAGCCCCTTTCTTTGATTTTTAAAGCACATCCATTACCTTTTAAGGACTGTAGTAAGAAATACAGTCTAGGCCAAGCACAGTGGCTCACGCCTGTAATCCCAGCACTTTGGGAGGCTGAGGTGGACAGATTGCTTGAGTCCAGGAGTTCAAGACCAGCCTGGACAACATGGTGAAACCCTGTCTCTACAGAAAATGCAAAACTTAATTGTGCATGGTGGTGTACACTTGTAGTGCCAGCTACTCAGGAAACTGAGGTGTGGAGGATTGCTTGAACCCTGGAGGTAGAGGCTGCAGTGAGCCATGAGTGTGCCACTGCACTCCAACCTGGGCGACAGAGTGAGACCCTGTGTCAGAAAAACGAAACAAAGCAATCTAAACTAAACTCACTTCATAAATGGCTCTTATGAAAAAGTGATTTAAAACATGACCTTTCTGTGTTTGTGATTTTAGACACTTTATTTCACAACTAGTAACTTGCAAAATTACCATGGATTTCAGTTTCAGTTGTTTATGATTACTTTTTTTTTTTTTTTTTAAGTGTCAGAGTATTGCTTTGTCGCCCAGGCTGGAGTGCAGTGGCACACTCATGGCTTACTGTCGCCTTGAACTCCTGGGCTCAAGTGATCCTCCTGCCTTAGCCTCCTGAGTCTCTAGGACTACAGGCATGTGCCATCATGCCCAACTAAGTTTTTTTTTTTTTTTTTCTCCCCCTTCCACCAACTCACTTCAAATAATCTGCTAGGTTTTAAAAAACTTTTTTAGAGTCGGGGGTGTCGCTGTGTCACCCAGGCCAGTCTCAAACTCCTGGCTTAACTAGGCCACTGGCCCACTCTCAAGTAGCTGGGATTACTGATATCAGCCACTGTGCCTAGCTCCTATTACTTTTTGTTTTGAAAAACATTCAGGAATTGTTGAGAAAGTACAGAAACATAAATCTTAAATTTCTCCGTGGAAGGCTGTGCTGACGATCCAAATAATTTTATACTACACAGCTATTTAGCTATAAAATCTTTAGCTATCAGATTAATTTCTCCCTATGAGCTAGGAAAACTGGAGTGTCCAGAGAAAATACTTAGGATAGTAAATTACATTTAACTCCTCAGCATTGGCAGCTGTTGTGGACCGAATGTTTGTCAAATTTATATGTTGAAGCCCTACCAGCCTACACGTGGCTGTATTTGGAGATGGGACCACTAAGGAAGTAATTAAGGTTAAGTGAGGTCATAAAGGTAGAGTGCTGACCTGATAGGATTAGTGTCCTTATAAGAAGATTCAGTTAGCTTGCACTTGCTTCCTCCCTCTCTTTTACACAGAGGACAGGTGTGGTGATGACATAGCAAGAGGATGGCTTTTGCAGTCTAAGCAGACTAAAACAGGCTGCCATAACAAAATACCACAGACTGGTGGCTTAAATAACGGAAGTTTATTTCTCACAGCTCTGGAGCCTGGGAAGTCCAAGATCAAGGTGCCAGCAGATTTAGTGTCTGGTGAGGGCTCTCTTCCTGGCTTGCAGACAGCTGCCTTCTTACTGTGTCCTCACATGGCCTTTCCTCTGTATTCATCCTTCTACCTTACCTTCTACAGCCATTGAATTACCAGTCTGCTTATTCTCTTCCGTCAGTAGTTTTCAAATTCATCCCATCTTCTTCTTCCCTACTAACTACAGCTCTGGTTCCAGCCCTTTCTGTATGACTACAATAGTCTCTCAGATCAATTCATATTCCATGTGTTCTTATCAGAGTAATTATCCTGACATATAAATTGGCTTATTTAAATTTTTCTGTGGTTCCCTCTTGTCTGTGGATAACTTCTAAGCTTTATAATACAGTCCCTGCCTATCTCTGTAGCTTCATCTACTAGCAAACATTCTGATAGTATGTGTAACATCAAACTACTTTCAGTTTTCCTCCCAATCCCTGAAGAATTTTACTTTGTTTCTTCTGTTACTTTTGCCTGGCATGGGAAGGGAAGGTCCTTTATTCCTACCCTTTTTATCTAAGGAACTCTAGCTTATCCATTCTCACTTTTTGCAGAATTTCCATCTCACTTCTCCTCCCAGCCCCAGGTGTCCCTTCTCTGTCCCCTCCAGAATATTCTCAGCATCTCTCATTACATGGTTAAGTTGTTTTTAGTTTAGTTAAGGTGAATGTTTACTTCTTTTATGTTAAGAGCTGGTCATATTCATTTTAGTGCCTAAAACAATGTCTAGCTCATATTGGGTGTTCATATGTTGGTAGAGTAACCAAACATCCAGAAAGTAAAGGTGACTTTCGGCCGGGCGCGGTGGCTCAAGCCTGTAATCCCAGCACTTTGGGAGGCCGAGGCGGGTGGATCACGAGGTCAAGAGATCGAGACCATCCTGGTCAACATGGTGAAACCCCATCTCTACTAAAAATACAAAAAAATTAGCTGGGCATGGTGGTGCGTGCCTGTAATCCCAGCTACTCAGGAGGCTGAGGCAGGAGAATTGCCTGAACCCAGGAGGCGGAGGTTGCGGTGAGCCGAGATCGTGCCATTGCACTCCAGCCTGGGTAACAAGAGCGAAACTCCGTCTCAAAAAAAAAAAAAAAAAAAAAAAAAAAAAGGTGACTTTCAAGATCAGGTCATTTAGAGAGGACAAAACTGAGACTGGAAGACGAGTACCTCTTTTATTGCCTCAAACTGCAGAACAGTGCTCCTTAGGGTACAGCATAAAACTGGATAAGTACAATATCTATTGTGCAATTACTAAGTCAATTTAAGCTCATTTGCTTATAATTAAGATAATTAAATTTTGCTTTATAAATCAAATTTTTACATATTGTATATATGGGGGCCTATGGTGCATGAATAGTTTTGCATGAAATTTATATAGTAACAAACAGTTAAAACAGTTGAAGTAGATAGGAAAGTCACAAGGAAGAAACAAAAATGGGCTTTTAGTGACCATACTTTGATAGTTAAAAAAATTATTGTGACATTTCCCAGGCATACTGTTTAAAAGATTACATGGGCTGGGCTTGGTGACTCACACCTGTAATCCCAGCACTTTGGGAGGCCAAGGCAGGTGGATTACCCAAGGTCAGAAGTTCAAGACCAGCCTGGCTAACATGGTGAAACCCCATCTCTGCTAAAAATACAAAATTGCTGGGCATGGTGGTTCACGCCTGTAATCCCAGCTACTCAGGAGGCTGAGACAGGAGAATTGCTTGAATCCAGGAGGCGGAGGTTGCAGTGAGCCGAGATCGTACCATTGCACTCCAGCCTGGGAGACAAGAATGAAATTCCACCTTGGAAAAAAAAAAAAAAAAGACTATATGAGCTGTAGTATGGAAGATCTAAGGATGGAAATGGCCAAATTTGAAAAATTGCATTGTAGCTTAATAAATGCTTGAATTAAATTTGCTTACAACTTACATATTGTGATTCTTGTGCCTTCAGGTTCTTCTGTTTTCCATAGCATATTGCAGAAATCAGTTGGGGTTTAGAAACTGAGACCCATATATTGATTTGCAAAAGGATAGAGAAATATATTTTGGTCTGGGTGCATTCTCAATTTCAGGATTTTTTTTTTTTTTTTTTGAGACAGAGTCTTGTTCTGTCACCCAGGCTGGAGTGCAGTGGTGCGATCTCGGCTTACTGCAACCTCCACCTCCTAGGCTCAAGCTATTCTTGTGCCTCAGCCTCCCGAGTAGCTGGGATTACAGATGTGTACCACCATGCCTGGGTAGTTTTTGTATTTTTAACAGAGGTTTTGCCATATTGGCCAGGCTGGTCTCGAATTCCTGGTCTCATCTGATCCTCCCACCTCGGCCTCCCAAAGTACTGCAATTAAAAGCATGAGTCACTATGCCTGGCCTCAGAATTTTTTAAAGACGTGTAAGTTTTAGGGCCAGGTGCAGTGGTGCATGCCTATAATCCCAGCACTTTTGGAGGCCGAGATGGGCAGATTGCCTGAGCTCAGGAGTTTGAGACCAGCCTGGGCAACATGGTGAAACCCCGTCTCTACAAAAATACAAAAAATTAGCCGGGTGTGGTGACGTGTGCGGTGGCCTGCACCTGTAGTCCCAGCTACTCGGGAGGCCGAGGCAGGAGAATTGCAAGAACCTGGGAGGTGGAGGTTGCAGTGAGCCGAGATCATGCCACTGCACTCCAGTCTGGGTGACAGAAAAAGACTCCATCACAAAAAAAAAAAAAAAAAAAAAAAAAGAAGTAGAAGTTTTAAAAATGAGGCATCAAAAAAGAAAAAGCATCAGAAAGATGAAATAGCAAGGTCATGATTAAGATCATTGGATACATAGGATATGAGTTGAATTTTTCACAGCCCCTTTTATTAAAATCATTTTTTAATTGCATTTTAGGTTTTGGGGTACATGTGAAGAACGTGCAAGATTGTTGCATAGGTACATACGTGGCAGTATGATTTGCTGCCTTCCTCCCCTTCACCTATATCTGGCATTTCTCCCCGTGCTATCTCTCCCCAACTCCCCACCCCCTGCTGTCCCTCCCCTATTTCCCTGCAACAGACCCCAGTGTCTTAAAATATATTATTGACCCTAGTACTCTACAAAGCTTAGTACATTTTTTACTTAAATAAATTCCAAATAGGCTAAAAGCCTACTGACAATATTGACAGTAGCAATGATGATGTAGGTGTCACCTGGGTTAAGTCGTGAGAAAACTCAAACCATAGTGTCACAGATGCTACCCTTTAGCTTTGCATGCCCAGAATATAATTTAATAACAAAGAGAGTTTTGTTATTAAATTACACAGATCCGTCTTCTGGGGGGTGTGTATTTTGACTAAGATCATTTAAGTTTTATATTATTATTGAGAGAAACAGTTTGTCCTGTTAATTTTCTTATTGTGTTTCAAAGTCATTGAGACTAAGAACTTACATTTTAGCACTAAGAACTGTGCCTGGCACCCAATAGGCATTTAATTTGATATTTGTTGAATAATGTTAATAATACTCAAGGTCTGTGTTTTGTTCCTGCAGGTTGATCCAAAAGACTACATGTTCAGTGGACTGAAGGATGAAACAGTAGGTCGCTTACCTGGGACAATAGCAGGACAACAGTTTCTCATTCAAGACTGTGAGAACTGTAACATCTATATTTTTGATCACTCTGCTACAATTACCATTGATGACTGTACTAACTGCATAATTTTTCTGGGACCCGTGAAAGGCAGTGTGTTTTTCCGGAATTGCAGAGATTGCAAATGCACATTAGCCTGCCAACAATTTCGTGTGCGTGATTGTAGAAAGCTGGAAGTCTTTTTGTGCTGTGCCACTCAACCTATCATTGAGTCGTCCTCAAATATCAAATTTGGCTGTTTTCAATGGTACTATCCTGAATTAGCTTTCCAGTTCAAAGATGCAGGGCTAAGTATCTTCAACAATACATGGAGTAACATTCATGACTTTACACCGGTGTCAGGAGAACTCAACTGGAGCCTTCTTCCAGAAGATGCTGTGGTTCAGGACTATGTTCCTGTACCTACTACCGAAGAGCTGAAAGCTGTTCGTGTTTCCACAGAAGCCAATAGAAGCATTGTTCCAATATCCCGGGGTCATAGACAGAAGAGCAGCGATGAATCATGCTTAGTGGTATTATTTGCTGGTGATTATACTATTGCAAATGCCAGGAAACTAATTGACAAGGTAAGGAGAAAAAGAAAAGAAATTGTCATACACCTAGATTTAAAAATGGACCATTCTGGAGTACTTACATTCTTTTCAAATTGGCTATTTGAAATATAGGCAACTGCCGGGTGCGGTGGCCCATGCCTGTAATGCCAGCACTTTGGGAGGCCAAGGCGGGTGGATCATGAGGTCAGGAGTTCAAGACCAGCCTGGTCAAGATGGTGAAACCCCATCTCTACGAAAAATACAAAAAATTAGCCGGATGTGGTGCCACATGCCTGTAATCCCAGCTACTCGGGAGGCTGAGGTAGAGAATTGCTTAAACCCAGGAGGCAGAGGTTGCAGTGAGCCAAGATTACGCCACTGCACTCCAGCTTGGTGACAGAGCGAGACTGCATTTCAAAAAAAAGAAAAAGAAAGAAATAAGAAATACAGGCAACCCTCAAGTTATAGTCCTTTGCCTCCACCCCCTGTCCCAATAGATTTGTCTGTAAGTAGATTGCTTGGGCCTTAAAATACTTTCTCAAAGAAACTTAAAAAATTCAGTTCAGTAAGCATTAAGCACCTATTTTTTTTTTTTGAGACAGAATTTTGCTCTTGTCACCCAGGCTGTGCAATGGTATGATCTCAGCTCACTGCAACCTCCGCCTCCTGGGTTCAAGCGATTCTCCCGCCTCAGCCTCCCGAGTAGCTGAGATTACAAGCGTGCACCACCATGCCCAGCTAATTTTTTTATTATTAGTAGAGATGGGGTTTTACCATGTTGGCCAGACTAGTCTTGAACTGCTGACCTCAGGTGATCCGCCTGTCTCGGTCTCCCAAAGTGCTGGGATTACAGGTGTGAACCACCGTTCCCAGCCAGCACCTGTTATGTGCTAGTTGCTATTATCATATTTCACTGATGATAGGATGCCTATTTGTTTTCCAAGGTTTTGCTTATGTGGAATGCATCTTACAATTGATAGCAACATAGAAATGACAAACTACAGTATATGCTAGAGATGAAGATAAATACACAAAATTCTTTGCCCTTAAAGAGTTTCCATTATACTAAATGATTTCTGGAGAAGCTCACAAAAGTAGTACTGCTTAGTAAAGCATGACATTTTATAATTATTTAGTGGGGAAATTTCTTTGGAGTTCTAATTGGTTAGGGGGTAGAAAATGCATTTTTGGTGGCGGGGGGATGAAGTCTTGCTCGGTTGTCGGGCTGGAGTGCAGTGGTGCCATCTCGGCTCACTGCAGCCTTCGTCTCCCAGGTTCAAGTGATTCTCCTGCCTCAGCCTCCCAAGTAGCTGGGACTACAGACAAGTGCCACCACACGCAGCTAATTTTTTTGTATTTTCAGTAGAGACAGGGTTTCACCATGTTAGCCAGGATGCCCTTAATCCCTTGACCTTGTGATCTGCCTGCCTTGGGCCTCCCAAAGTGCTGGGATTACAGGCGTGAGCCACTGCGCCTGGCTGAAAATACATTTAGGAATACTACCTTTGAACCCTGCTGTGACTGTGAGAGCAACCTCCACACTATGTTCCTTATTGTCCTGTACTCTATTGCCATAGAAGGGAGCTTTGTGTAGAAGAGTGAGATGGAAGCTAGGCTGGCAAAGCTTATAGGCTTATGAACAGTGGGTCTTGGTGAGCTCATGAGTAGAGAGGGTTTCTAGGGTAGCAACTTCTGCTTGAAAAATAATTGAAGATATAGAGGTTAGGGGCTCCAGAAGCAGCAGTTCCTTTGTTGGTGGATGCTCCAGTGGGAAGCCAGCAGTAGGATATATTGATTATCCATTAATCAGGTTCCTTCAGAAGGAATCTGTTTGAATTTAAAAATCAAACTTGCAGAAATGGAGAAGTGAATGGAAAAACTCATCAAGTCTCTTTTTATTTTTTTGAGACAGAGTGTAGCTTTGTCTCCCAGGCTGGAGTACAGTGGCAGGATCTCAGCTCACTGCAACCTCTGCCTCCCGAGTTTAAGCGATTCTCCTGCCTCGCCTCCTGGGTAGCTGGGATTACAGATGCTCGCCATCATGCCCGCTAACTTTTGTATTTTTAATTGAGACAGGGTTTTGCCATGTTGGTCAGTCTGGTCTTAAACTCCTGACCTCAAGCAATCTACCTGCCTTGGCCTCCCAAAGTGCTGGGATTATAGGTGTGAGCCACCACGCTCGGCTGGAAAGCTCATTATGTCTCTTTTTGAATGGATTTTTTTAAAAGTTGGAGCATATCAAAAGGAAAGATTTTATGAAAATGTTAAAAATGAATACCTCTTAATAGCTGTACATTCTACAATGTAGAAAACCCATGTAGAAATGTATGAAATCTACAAAGTATATCTGAGGTGTAGTTTTTAAACCAACAGAAGCCAAAGTATAATTTTAAGACTTTTAGATTTTCTTTTTTGTTTATGCCAATGTGATAAAAACATTCTATGAATCTGGTAAGATATAGAAAAAGGTGCTTCTGGCTTTTGAGCTATCTGATCACATGTTAATCCAATATCTGAGAGGTAAATGCTTTTATTATACTGTATGGTGATTTTTTTTTAAAACTACATACAGTTTTCAAACTATGTAATTATTTAGGTTAAACTCCTTTTTCGTAGGTAATGAGGAATGGACATAAATAATATTTAGCATGTTTAAAGAAAAAAGCCATCAAAACAGTGTTTCTTCATGAGTCATCAAATGTTCTTTAACCTTTTAACCTTTAGTATCTGGTATATGAAATGGCAGTGTTTGTGTGCCCTTGAAAAGAATATGATGAGGAAGGATGATATCCTTTAGATGTCCTCTGGAATACAATATAAATAATAATCCCAGAGTGATAATAATAACTAACACTTACATAGTGTTTACTGTATGCCAGGCACTATTGCAAGGAATTTAAATGAATTAACTCAATACTCAAAACAACTCTATGAAATAAGTGCTATTATTCCCCCATTTTACAGATATGAAAAATAGACCATAAAGAGAGTAAGTACCTTGTAAAAGGTCATTCAGCTGGTAAACAGCAGAGCCATGATTCCAGTCCAGGCAGTCTGGCTGTGTAGGCTACACCTTCACCCTTAAACATAATGCTGTTATGCTGCTTCAGTGATAAAGTTGCTGAATGCCTGGTGGAGTAGGAATGTGACTGAAAGCATGTGGACTCAAGGGCCTTCTAGTCTAGGGACTATTTAAAATGCTACAGTTATCCTATCTCATTCTGGCAGTACAGAATTAAGGAATGAAGAGAACAAACAAAAAATAAAATGCCAAGTACATATGAAGAGGGTATCAAAATATGCTGAAAAACAGAAGACTTACATATTATATTGAGAGATTACCTTTTTTAAATTTATTTTTATTTATTTATTTTGAGAGATTACCTTTTTTAAAAAATGAAATGAGTTCGTAGGGAAATATGTATAGAAACTACTGAATCTTGAGATGAAAAAAATAAAACTTGAGTCTTTCTCATGTCATAATACAAATGTCAGGACAGCTTAGACTGAAACTGTGATTGCCAACTCTATATTTGTTAAACCACAGGAGGATCACAGAATTTCATTTCACATTGTTTTAATACATTAAATAATGAATTTTTTTGTGATAAGAAGTATAAAACTTGAGAGAGGGTAGGAAGTCCAAAAAGGCTGGGTAAAGCAGAAAGTACATTCCATAGGGAGCCAAGAGAAGTTACTAGGCTTTGGTTCTCTCACCTAAAAATCAGATTCCTCGACTTCTCTTACCTACATCACAGATATGTACAGGATAAATTAAAGTAAAATAGTTTGAATTGTTTAGGAGTATTTCATCATTTGAAATTGAAGTTGGTAGTTACCACTATTTTCAAGTCTTTAAAAGTAGAAGAATTTTCATGAAAAGGAGTCTCTCCAAATCTGCAGTGAAATATTACAGTATAGTTTGTTATTTAGGTAACAGTATTTTGAAGTAATCATCAAAATCTTATCAGTTTGTGTCTATAAAATTAGAGATGATAAACACTCTAGAAAATAGGTAGAATTATTTCTGTTATTTTTATTTTATAGTCATCTGGCAGTGATGTCCATGTAATTCTCTACAATTTTTAAATATATGTTTCTTTTTTTGGAGGCAGCATTGAATCAGGGTTCTGAAATAGGATTTGAGTTTGATCAAATTTAATGGAATGGTATGGAATAATGTAGCCACAGGATGAAATACTGTCAGCCATTAAAACTGATTTCATGTAAAAAATGTCACAAGTGAAAATTTGTAGAATATTATATAAGTAACTGATTTTTTTTTAAGTAGGTAGGTCTGAAAAGTTATAGATACTAAAATGTTAACAGTCATGCTTATTCTTAGGCAGTTAAGAGCAGGGTTTTCTTTTTTTGCAGTTCTATGGATTTAACAATGAGCATATATTATTTCTGTAATGGGAGAAAAAGAAAACTGGGAGGGTATACCTGTATGGCAGTAGCATCTTTTAGTTGTAGCACCCTGGTTGATATTTCTTTGTTTCTATTTTTTATTTTTCAAATGTTCTGTGTTGAGAATACATGTTACTTTTAATTATTAATCGACGATACACTGGACACGGAAAATGTGGCACATATACACCATGGAGTACTATGCAGCCATAAAAAATGATGAGTTTGTGTCCTTTGTAGGGACATGGATGAACCTGGAAACCATCATTCTCGGCAAACTGACACAAGAACAGAAAATCAAATACCACATGTTCTCACTCATAGGAGGGTGATGAACAATGAGAACACATGGACATAGGGAGGGGACCATCACACACTGGGGTCTGTAGGGGGGAACTAGGGGAGGGCCAGCAGGGGGTGGGAAGTTGGGGAGGGATAACATGGGGAGAAATGCCAGATATAGGTGATGGAGAGGAAGGCAGCAAACCACATTGCCATGTATGTACCTATGCAACAATCTTGCATGTTCTTCACATGTACCCCAAAACCTAAAATGCAATAAAATATATATTAAAAAAAAAAAAACTAACAAGGTTTGCTAAAAATTAAGTGATTGGAATGACTACATTTTTTTTCTTTAAGAGACAGGATCTTGCTCTGTTGTCCAGGCTGGAGTGTAGTGGTGAGATCATAGCTCAGTGTAACCTCAAACTCCTGGGCTCAAAGGATCCTCCCACCTCAGCCTCCTGAGTAGCTGGAACTACAGGCACATGCCACCACACCTGGCTAATTTTTAAAATTTTTTATAGATGGGGTCTTGCTATGTTGCCCAGGCTGGCCTCGAACTCCTGGTCTCAAGCGATCCTCCCATGTTGACCTCTCAAAGACCTTGGATAGCAGGTATGAGCCATGATGCTGGGCTGACTTTGCATTTTTAAAAACTACTTTCATAATTACTTTAAAAATTAATACATCCTTGTGGAGAATTATAGAAATAAGAAAGAGTAAAATAAGTTCAAAATGAGTATGTAATTGTACCATACCTTGAATAATCTTTTTAGGAATAATTTTTAAATTTATTTAAGAGACAGGGTCAGATTAACTAGGTTTGAATCACAGCTCTGTCACTTAATTGTTAAATGTCCTTGGGCAAGTCCTTTAATCACTGTGTGCCTTAGTTTTCACATCTGTACAATGAGGATAATGATACCTACTTCATGGGAGGGTTAAACATATACATGTAAAGTACATAAAGCTGCCTGCCACATAGTAAGTGCTCGGTAAGTGTGATCTACCATTACTGTGCTATACTATATACATTTGTATCATGCTTTTTAAAATTAACATTATTGGTCAGGTACAGTGGCTCATGCGTGTAATTCCAGCATCTTGGGTGGCTGAGGCAGGAGGATGGCTTGAGCCCAGGAGTTCAAGATCAGCCTGGCAACATGGCAAGACCCTGTCTCTACAAAAAAAATTTAAAAAGTTAGCCGGGCATGGTGGCATGGGCCTGTAGTTCTAGCTACTTGGGAGGCTGAGGTGGGAGAATCGCTTGAACCCAGGAGTTTGAGGCTGCAGTGAGCTATGATTGCACAACTACATTCCAACCAGGGCAACAGAGTAAGACCCTGTCTCAAAAAAGAAAGAAAAAGAAACTATGTAAAATTAACATTATGACATAAGCTTTTCCCCATTTTATTGTAACATCTTTGTTGTATTTAATGAGCTATGATAAATGTAATGAACTGTGGCATTTCATCATGTGACTGTACCGTAATTTACTTAACCATTCTCTTCTCATTGGACATTTGCAGTATCACCAAACTAAAACTTCCATCTGGTAGTAGAAAAATTTTAATCATGTCTTAAACTTGAGATATAATTCATATTTATTTGACCCTTAATCTTAAACTGCAGTACCAAGCCAGAACTACCCATCCAGAAGAAAGAATCTCATATAGTGAGAACTTATTATAGCAAACAACCTGAATTAGACTTATAATTAAAACAAAAATCAGTGTACTGTTGAGAAATACTAGAATAGGAAATCATTGTTTTAGTCTCAGAAATTCATTTTAAAATCTAAATGAAATTTTATTTTCACAGATGGTTGGTAAAGGCTTTTTTCTAGTTCAGACGAAGGAAGTGTCCATGAAAGCTGAGGATGCTGAAAGGGTTTTTCGGGAAAAAGCACCTGACTTCCTTCCTCTTCTGAACAAAGGTACCTTCTGGATGATTGGTATACTTTTGTGGTTATTTTCTTTACATGCTGATTTGATTTACTTTTGCCTTTAACATTTCTTTTGCGTTGCCTTCTCTTTCTCATTTGTGCTTTGTTTTTTTTTTCTATTATTGTTCAGAAATGTTAAAATTTCACATTTTAACATTCAAGGAGCCCTAGGTAACTAACTAGAAATTAGGCATTCCCTTTTTTCCCTATCCTGTGTTCTTAGTACTGAAAGTCACATTTTATTATGTATCTTATTATTGTTTTAATTATTATTGTATTATTGTTTTACCTGTATAGTGTAGTGAGTAAACATTTCATACTTCCTGCTCAGAGTTGCAAAGCACTTGATAAAGATACTATCTACCTTCAGTGTGCTTTAATCATACTGGAAAAGAAATAAGAAATATAAAGTGGTATATTATTTTATGTATTTCATATGATTGATTAACTTCCCTTGTATAATTAGAATTGTTTTCCCTAATGGGTAAATGCCACCAATAAATTTCAGATATTGGATATAGGTCTTCAAAGAGAGGAACTTAAGTACGTGTGCCCACCTGAAGGGTTACTGTCTGCCTACCTGTATTTGAAGGTGTATTGATTCTAGAGGACAGAGTATTCTTTATCTGTTCAGAGTGCGGACATTGTTTGCTGAAGGCTCATCAGGCTTTCCTTGACTGGCCTGAGCAAATATGTATAGTAATATGCAGTGTTGATTGAGTATACCCTAGAGAGGGGGCACATCTGCATTTTATATGCTCTTTATGTATAAAAATATTATAATAAACTGTGAAAACCTGTATGAAATGTTAGAGGATTGTTAGGATAAGTAATGCTGGTGTAACTCAGCTGGTAAGTATTAATGCAGTATTTGATAATACTTTTGTGGTTACTGTAGTAGTAGTAAGGACTTGCTCCAACCCTCTGCATGAATCTACCCCAGAATATATGTAGGAAATTCTGGCCTGACGCCTTTGATGCAACCATTTTGACATGGGAACATTTGGAAGCTTGAAAATGAACCTTTAACCTCTTAGCAGCTTTTGGAAATTGAATCAGGTAATAAGTGTATTGGACATCCTAAAGTGTGAGAGTTAGTAATAAAGTGAGCATGTCGGTAGGTCTAAATTAATGATTTATGTACTTGTGTGATGTTAGTGAAGTAGTATTACAGAATTGCTCCAACCCAAATATAGTATCTGCATTTAAGTAACAGAACATTCTGCATGGAAAAAGTAAACTGTTCTGTTGGTGCAAAAAGTAGAACTAAAGCCAATAAGCAGATGTTGCAGGAATTTCAGCAAATAAACAGTATATAAACAAGTCTTAAACACCAGAGATGCCTGTAGGAGGTATTCAAAGACTGATGAGTTCATAGCAAAAGATAATAGGAGCCAGCTTGAAGGAGTTTCCATGGGCCAAATTTGGGACAATTTAACAATTAAAAAGAATACTGGGACTGGATGTAGTGCCTCAAACCTATAATCCCAGCATTTTGGGAGGGTGAGGTGGAAGGATTGCTTAAGGCCAGGAGTTTGAAACGAACCTGGACAACATAGCAAGACCCTGTCTCTACAGAGAATACAAAAATTAGTTGGAGGTGATGCACATTTGTCATCCCAGCTACTCAGGAGGCTGAGGTGGGAGGGTCACTTGAGCCCAGGAGCTTGAGGCTGCAGTGAGCCATGCTTATGCTGCTGCACTATAGCCTGGGCAACAGAGCAAGAGCATGTCTCAAAAAAAAAAGAGAAGAATGAAGGTGATGATTTAACAACAGAAATCTCTGCATCCATATTGTTAAACAAAAAGGGGAGGGAAGAAAGGAATGTTCATCTGCTCTTTACAGAATATTGTGAGCTAAAAAATGCAGAAGGAATGATGGACTTCGGAAATCATCATTTTCCAACGCCAGTGTAATAATGATTTCAGACAAAGATTATCAGTGGGTGGTAAAACTATTGGGGTAAAAGTTGCTAAGAAGTAGGATAATTATACATCCTAATTCAAAGGGGAAATGTACCTTTACAGCAGAGATGTGGTGATCACCATGTTAACCCAGTGATCAAACAGCATCACTGATAGACACCCTAACATTGTGTTACTCATGATGTGATGCAGTGAAAAATACGCAACATCACCTGTAGAGTGTTCTTGCCCAAGTAACCTGAATCTAATTGAGCCAAGACTTAACTTCTAGTTTGTAGGAAGAATAGAAATATGTTAAATGACACCATAAGGAAATAATAAAACGAATCCAAAATAGAAGACATTCTACAAGACAACTGGCTAGGTCTCTTCAGACAGTGTAATGGAAAACAAAAAAGATAGAGGAATTATTCTGGATTAGGAGACTAAAGAGACATAACAACTAAATGCAATGAGTGAACCTTGATTGGATCTTAGGTTGGGTTGGAGTGAGCTGTAAAAGGCATTTTTGGGACATGTAGTGGAGTTTGAAGATGCGACAGAATTATCATTAATACCCTTTGGTATGATAATGATGCTGTAGTTATGTAGGAGCTACATGCTGAAGTGTCCTGATGTCTGCTACTTTCAAATGACTCAGCAAAATTAAGCATATATGTGCAGATAGATGGTGTTTATTGTGTAATAAAGCAAATGTGGACAAATGTTAGCTTTTGGTGGTGTAGATGAAAGGCAAATGCATATTTACGCTATTCTTTCAACTCTTCTATAATATGTAGAAATTTTCAAAATAATAAGTTGGGGAAAACTTTTAAGCTACTCAGCGGTGGAATAGTGAGTAGACTGGCAGTAGAGATATTCTAGCAGGAGTTGGATGGACTGGGCCCTTATCTAAAAGTGACCGTCAGTCATTCTAAGGCAGGGTGTCTCAACCTTGGCACTATAGACATTTTAGGCCAGGTAATTTTTGTTATGAGAGGCTGTCCCGTACCTTACAAGATGTTTAGCAGCATCTCTGGCCTCTACCCATTAGATGCCAATAGAACACTACCCCAGTTGTGGCAACCAAAAATGATTCCAGATGTTGCCAGATGTCCCCAGATCTATGGGAGGGAGGCAAAATTGCTGCCAGTTGAGAACCACTGTACTGAACTAAGAGTGGTCTTATTTATTTATTTTGAGAATTCACATGTACCTTAAATAGTTTGCACCTCAGAGTCTCTCAGTTTTCCTCTTCAGTTGCAATAGTCACATTTATTTTCAATATTTAATAAAGCTATTTGACTGCTTAGTAAGTTAATTCATTGTTTTTCATCATGAGGATCTCCAGATCGACTAATCCTCAGAACTATCCAGGGTGCTTTTAAAAACATAATTTTCAGCCAGACATGGTGGCTCACACCTGTAATTCCAGCACTTTGAAAGGCTGAGGCAGGTGGATTGCTTGATCCTAGGAGTTCAAGACCAGCCTGGACAACATGGCAAAACCCCATCCCTACAGAAATTAGCTGGGAATGGTGGTGTGCGCCTGTAGTCCCAGCTACTTGGAGGCTGAGGTGGGAGGATCACCTGAGCCCAGGGAGGTTGAGGCTGCAGTGACCCATGATCGCACCACTGCACTCCAGCTTGGGCAACAGAGCAAGACCTTGTCTCAAATACATAAATACATAAACAAAATTTCTTTTTTCTTTTTTTTTTTGAGACAGGGTCTTACTCTGTTGCCCAGGCCGGAGTGCAGTGGTACAATCTTGGCTCATTGTAACCTCTCTCTCCGGGGCTCAAGCAGTCCTCCTGCCTTTGTCTCCTGAGCTCAAGCAATCCTCTTACCTCAGCCTCCCAGGTAGCTGGGACCACAGGCGTGCCCCACCATTCCTGGCTAATTTTTGTATTTTTTGTAGAGACGGCGTTTTGCCATGTTGCCCAGGATGGTCTCGAACTCGTGAGCTCAAGTGAGTCCTCCTGCCTCAGCCTCCCAAAGTGCTGAGATTACAGCCGTGAACCACCGAGCCCAGCCAGTAAACAAGTTTTCTACTCCTACCCCAGAAAGCCTGATTCAAAAATCTTTGAGATGTACCCTTGGAATATTCCTTTTTTGATTAGTCAGACTTGGGTTCTTTTGTTTTAGAGAGTCATTCATTCATTTATTCAACAAAGTAGATGAAGTCTTAGAAGTAGGAGAGAGAGAGAGAGTCAGCTAATGTAGGGCCTTGTAAGCCACTGTAGAGACTTTGGCTTCTGTAGTAGTCTGAGTGAGATGAGATGCTGCTGGACGTTTGTGGGCTTTTTTAAAATAAACTTTTTATATTGGAATGATTTTAGGTTTACAGAAAAATTGCAAAGATAGTACAGAAAGTTTCTGTATATCCCTTACCCAGCTTCCCTAAATGTTAACATAACCATAATACATTTGTCAAAGCTAAGAAATTTACATTGGTAAAATGCTAACTTAAACTACAGACTTTATTCAAATTTTACCAGTTTTTCCACTTATGTCCTTTTTTCAGTTCCAGAATTCAATCCAAGATCCCACATTGCTTTTTGTTGCCATGTCTCCTTAATTTCCTGTGACAGATGTGACAGTTCTTCAGTCTTTCCTTGTTTTTCATAATCTTAAAACTTTTGAACAGTAGTGGTCAATTATTTTGTAGAATGTTCCTCAATTTATGTTTATCTGACATTTTCCTTTAGTTAGACTAGGGTTATGGGTGTTTAGGAAGAGGCAAAGTGCTCTTCTCATCACATAACATCACAGGGCACATGATGTCAATATGAGGTGGTATCTGCCAGATTTCTCTGCCGTAAAGTTTCCATGTTTCCCTTTCCATACTCCATTCTTTGAAAATGAGTCACTAAGACCAGTACACAATCAAGGAGTGAAGATTTAAGCTCTACCATCCGGAGAGAGGAATATCCACATACATTATTTGGAATTCTGTAAGAAAGATTTGTCCTGGCTGGGTGTGGTGGCTCACGGCTGTAATCCCAGCACTTTGGGGGGCCAAGGTGGGCGGATCATGAGGTCAAGAGATCAAGACCATCCTGGCCAACATGGTGAAACCCCATCTCTACTAAAAATACAAAAATTAGCCAGGCATGGTGGCGTGCACCTGTAGTCCCAACTACTTGGGAGGCTGAGGCAGGAGAATCACTTGAACCTGGGAGGCGGAGGTTGTAGTGAGCCAAGATCACGCCACTGGTGACAGAGTGGGTCTCTGTCTCAAGAAAGAAAGGCGGGGGGAGGGAGGGAGGGAAAAGAAAAAAAAGAAAAGGAAAGAAAAAAAGGAAAGAAGGGAGGAAGGAAGGAAGGAAAGATTTGTGTCTTCTCATTTATTCATTCATTTATTTCTCATGGGTATGTATTTTATTCTTTAGGTGGTAATTCATTACTATCAAATTGTTCCAGTTTTAACCATCTGAAGTGCTTTTAGGTTGGCTTTTTTGTCCCTTTGACATGCCCCATCCTTTTGAATTTTGAACACTTCTTTACTTTCTGGCCCTACAAGATGCTCCAGGCTCATCCTATATCTTTCCTTGTCCCAGAACTAGTATCAACATTTCTCCAAGGAACCTGGTTTCTTTTATTCTAGAATAATAGAAAACAAGATCTGCGTGCTAGGTGTGCCCTTTACTATTGGGATACCACTGGTTCTAAGCCCTTTTAACAGACAAAGGTTAAAAAATGCATGCATGACTATTACCCTGTATATACACACACATCTATAATTCTGTATCCGTCTATTAAAATATCTCTGACCCTCATCCAGCCCCACAGGGTTCATTCTAGCATCCCTTCCCTTGCTTTTTTTGTGACTTCTTGCTCTGAAAGTGAGAAACCTGGCTTCTATTATGTATGCTTTATTCTCTTATTTGTTTAACACTAGTATACATATAATAATATAGTTTTAGAATTGCTAACGCATACCCCTGTGAGAAACTTATTTACCAACTCGAGTGCAGTTGGTATTATACAGTCTTTGTCTTTAGCCTTACAGTAGCCACTCAAAACAGTTTTCCAAAGTCCTGAGGTCAGCTCCTTTTTCCCTTATCCCCTTCATTGAAGTATTGGCATACATCTATAATACTGTTAGATTCATTTGTCACAAGCTACATTCCATCTTTGGATACCCTCACATCTTGGTTAATTTTTTAAAATTTTCATACAGTAACGTTCAGTTGGCATGGGTTTTGATGAGTGCATAAAGTCCACCACCCCATTTATCACCCCAGTACCAGAGAAAACAGTTCTCCCTAAAAATTTCCCTTGTGTAGCCCTTTTAGTCAGTCAACCACAACTTTTGGCAACTGATTTGTTTCCTGTCCCTATGATTTTGCCTTTTCCAGAGTGTCCCATAAATGGAATCATACAACATGTAGCCTTTCAAGTCTGGCTTCATTTGTTAAAACGCATTTGTGATTTAGCCGTCTTGCTAGGTGACTCAATAACTTGTTCTTTTTTATTGCTGAATAGTATTCCTTGTCTTGATGTACCACAGTTTGTTTTTCCATTCA